GGTTTTTCAGAGATATTCCATGAGAAATAAATGGTGTTATTGGCCAATAAAATGATGCAAAAGGGTCCCATATACCTAAACTTTAAATTGTTTATGAAACCTTAATGTTTGATGTAGTACTGTATGTCTGTCTACATGAAAACAGGAAAGCTTTGTGGGTCTGGGGCAAAAGGTTTTAGTTTCACATACCAGATTTTTTTCTAGAGTTTCAACTTAGGGACCCTAGAAAGATACTGTGCCCTCCACCCCATTTGTGGTTCTCCTTCACACATTTGGTTGCTTCTAATTCCATGTTCCTCCCTTTCCTCCAGTCCCACCGTGATACTGTTTTTCCTGCCCTTATCAATTTCATTATTTTCTTTAAAATTACATAACTGCTTTCTTCTGTTTATTTTAGTTACTCATTCTGTCCGGGATTTCTTAAGTAATCAGTGACAATTTAAAAAGAGGCTTTTTCACTGGGTGCGGTGGCTCACCCCTTTAATCCCAGCACTTTGGGAGGCCGAGGCAGGAGGATTGCTTGAGCCCAGAGGTTCAAGACCAGCCTAGGCAACTTGGCGAGACCTCAAAAATAATATAAGTAGACCGGCATGGTGGCATACGCCTGTAGTAACAGCTACTTGGAAGGCTGAGGCGGAAGGATCACCTGAGTCCAGCAGGTAGAGGCTGCGGTGGCCGTGAGGGGGCCACTACACTCCAGCCTGGGCAACAGAGTGAGACTCCCACTAGAAAAAAAAAAAAGTCTTTTTCTTTTCATATTGACCTAACTTAAAAAAAAAATTACAAAAGAATAAGTGCTGTCTTGTCGACATCTACCTGTTTAAGGAGGAGAATTTTAGCCAGGTGCAGTGGCTCATGCCTGTAATCCCAGCACGTGGGAGGCTGAAGCAAGAGGACTGCTTGAGCCTAGGGGTTTGAGACCAGCCTGGGAAACTTGGGGGAGACCTCATCTCTACAGTATGTAAACAAATTAGTCAGGCATGGTGGTGTGTGCCTGTAGTTCCAGGTATTTCGAAGGCTGGGGCGGAAGGATCGCCTGAGACCAGTAGGTCAAGGCTGTAGTAGCCTTGAGCATGCCACTGCAGTCCAACCTGGGCAACAAAGTGAGACTCTGAATTTAAAAAAAAAGAGGGATCATTTTATTAAAATCTTAATGACATTTATTAGATTTGGGAATGAAAATCCATGAGTCATAGAACTTTAGCCTACTGGTATTTTATGGTAAAAGAGTAACGTAGGGTTTTTTTGTTTTAATTTTTTTTCCTTTGAGTTGAAATCTTACTCTTTCTCAGGCTGGAGTGCAGCACAGTCACGGTTCACTACAGCCTGTGTCTGCCTGATGCAATCCTTCTGCCTCTCGGCCTCCTGGTAGCTGGGACTACAGGCTTACAACACACCTGGCTAGCTTTTTTGATTTTTTTTGGGGGGGGGGATAGAAATGAAGTTTCACTGTGTTGCCTGGGCTTAAAATATTTTTTTTTAGGTACAGAGTCTCTGTCATCCAGGCTGGAGTGCAGTGGTGTGATCATGGCTCAAAACATTCTTCACAGAATGCTGGAGTGCAATGCTGCGTATCTGCAATTCTCCCACCTCAGCCTTTTGGTTAGCTAGGGTTTCAGGTGTTCACCACCAGGCCTGGCTAATTTTTAAGATATTTTTAATAGAGATAGAATCTCACTGTGTTGCCCAGGCTAGTCTTGAACTCTTGGCCTCAAGTGTTCTTCCTGTCTTGGCCTCCCAAAGTGCTGGGCTTACAAACAAGAAGTATCACACCCAGCTTAGTTTTTAGGATTTAGAAAAAGGAGATACAGCCATTTGTGATGTTGTTTGTCAAGAAGGAAACTGTACATGTTTTTCTCTAAATGCTGCAAATTCAGTCTAGGCCTCATAAGCCAAATAAATATGAAGACTACATGATTAAAACTGGAATATGAACCGGGCTCGGTGGCTCAGCCTGTAATCCCGCACCTTGGGAGGCTGAGGTGAGTGGATTGCCTGAGCCCACGGGTTCGAGACCCGCGTTGGCAACTTGGTGAGACCTCATCTCTACAATAAATTTAAAAATTAGCCGGGCGTGGTAGCGTGTGCCTGTAGTTCCATCTCCTTGGATGGCTGAGGCGGAAGGGTCGCCGGAGCCCAGCTGGTCGAGGCTGCGGTGGCCGGGAGCGGCCACTGCACTCCAGTCTGGGCAACAGAGTGAGACTCCAACTCAAAAACAACAACAACAACAAAAACTGGAATATGAAACTGATAATACAAGTGAAGCTTTGACTTTTTTTCCTTAGTGGACTGTAAATTATGTTGGCAACACAATACAATGTCAGATGTTTCTAGTTTGCTAAGAGATATCTAGATCTAAGTAGCTTAAGACTAAGCAGACATAAGTACTTTACTGATGTATGCACGCAATTTAAGTCTAAATATCTAGATTGAACTTAGTGAGTTGTCAAATACTGAATCTGAGGAAATTTCTTTTCTTTTTTTGATTATCACTCCGTTGCCCAGGCAGGAGTGCAGTGGCACGGTCACGGCCACCCCAGCGTTGACCTGCTGGGCTCAGGCGATCCTTCCACCTCAGCCTTCCAAGTAGCCGGAAGTGTAGGCATGTGCTTTCATGCCCAGCTAATTTTTTGATTTATTGTAGAGAGGAGGTCTCGACAAATTGCCCAGGCTGTTCTCGAACCTGTGGGCTCAGGCAGTCCCCCTCACCTCAGCCTTCCAAAGTGCTGGGATTACAGACTTGAGCCACCATGCCTGGCCTGGACATTTCTTGAATTATCAGCTTCAAAACTGTTTATACCCCTGAACTGAAATAAACTGAGCTTGAGGCTTGTAGTTAGCTGTTTGCTACTTGTGCTGATGAGATCTTGGCCAGGTTAAATTGAACCATTCATTGCATAGCATTGTTGATCACATGCTACCAGTATTAGAGCATTTGAGGTCACAATGTGGCTTAGATGACATCGTTGCATCATATTAGATGTAGAAAGCAATAGCGTTCAAAATTCTTCAGCTGTTTAACTGACAATATCAAGTGTTGGCAAGGATGTGTAGCAGCTGAAGCTGTAATACGTTGCTTGTGGGATTGCAAAATGGCAAAATTACCCTGGAAAACAGTTTTGGACTTTTTTTTTTTTTTGAGTTGGAGTCTCACTGTCGCCCAGACTGGAGTGCAGTGGCCGCTCCCGGCCACCGCAGCCTCCACCTGCTGGGCTCCGGCGATCCTTCCGCCTCAGCCTTCCAAGTAGCTGGAACTACAGGTGCATGCTACCATGCCCGGCTAATTTTCTGGTTTTTTTATTGTAGAGGTGAGGTCTCGCCTGCCCAGGTGGGTCTTGAACCTGCGGGCTCAGGCAATCCACTCACCTCAGCCTCCCAAAGGCGAGGGATTACAGGCTGAGCCACCGAGCCCAGCTTGGAGTTTCTTACCAAATAAAATTATTCACTACTTACCATATGATTAGGCAGTCCTAATGTTTATGAATCTTTTTATTGTAGGTTAATTGCCACCTTAACTTATCTTTTTTGTTGTTGTTGAATTGGAGTCTCACTCTGTTGCCCAGGCTGGAGCACAATCCTTTCACCGTAGCCTACCAAGTAGCTGGAACTACGGGCGTGTGCTACCATGCCTAGCTAATTTTTGATTTATTGTGGAGACAAGGTCTTGCCAAGTTGCCCGGGCTGGTTTCGAACCCTTGGACTCAGACAGTTCACTCTCCTTGGCCTCCAAAGTCCTGGGATTACAGGCTGAGCCACTGAGCCTGGCCTTAACTTTTCATTTTTGCTTAATTTTGCTTTGGATTGGGATTAGTACATTTTTATTGGAAGATAGTTTCACATTGATAACCTGTTAATTTGGGGAACATGGAGGTAGCAAGAAAAATCTGAAGGGGGAGTGGAAACCCCAGGTAGGGATTTCCTGGAGAAGCCAAATGGTAATTGTTTTGAATTAGAAATCTAAAGTGAATCGGATGGCCTAAATAAAGCACATGCCCAGTATAATTTTATGCCTCTGAATGGTTGTGGTTCCAGATAACTGCACTGTGGAATAGTAGTTTGTATTTATTGAGGGCTTGTTATGTACCTGTCACTTTACATGGGTTTACCCCTGAGATTCAGAATGCTTTGCTGTTAATGTAATAGCGTAAGGTTCTTTTGAGCTTAAAATTTTTTTTGCTTTTTTGAGTAGGAGTCTTTCTGTGTCACCCAGGCTGGAGGGCAGTGGCACGCCCCGGGTCACCGCAGCCTCAGCCTGCTGGGCTCAGGTGATCCTTCCATCTCAACCAAGTTGCTGGAACTACAGGCACATGCCACCATTCCCGGCTGTTTTGATTTATTGTAGAGATGGGGGGGGGGTCTCATCAAGTTGCCAGGCTGGTCTTGAACCTGTGGGTTCAGGCTATTCTCTCACCTCGGCCTCCCAAAGTGCTGGGATTATAGGTGTGAGCCACCACACCTGGCCTGAGCTTAAAATTAATGGCCATGACCATTCAATGTTTCTGTTTTTTTAGTTCCCATATATTTTGTCAATTTGTTGACCTGCTTCTTACTAGTTTGTGTTTGAATATATATCATACTTCCCCCTTCTAATTTTTTATGGGCTTGGAAAAATCTGTTACTGTAATAATAATTGTAGATGATGGATAAATGAGCTTGGAACTCTTAAGAATCTGAGAGTAAAATAGGTGTTTTAGTTCACAGACTCCTTGACCATTATTTTGAATGAAAGACTTATAAATTTATTTTTACTAGTCAGTGCTCCACAAGATATTGAATAGCTGGATTCCAGGTGGTATGTCTGTCTGTGTGTGCTGTTTCTGAGTGAGTGACCCTATTTGTGCAGAAATGCATTTCTCTTGGAATGTTAGTTTTATAGATATTATTTCAAGGGAATATTTTGGGTAGATTGGCTCTACTAAATAACTTGTTAGAATACCAGCCTTTTTTTTTTAACTTGAAAGTTTTTATCTTGCTGAATTTTAACTTTTTTTTCCTTTTAGAACAAATTCTGTACAACATAAAACAAGAGTATAAACGCATGCAGAAGAGAAGACATTTAGAAACTAGTTTCCAACAGACAGACCCGTGCTGTACTTCTGATACACAGCCACACGCATTTCTCCTCAGTGGACCAGCATCACCAGGTAATGGTGGGCTTTTGTAAGTGAAAGCAGAGGTTTTCGTTTTCAGTGTGAGAAAAGCGGACGCTAAACTGCCTTTAGTCACTTGTTACTATTTCTCCGCCTGATTTTTTTTTTTGAGTTGGAGTCTCCCTCGGTCGCCCAGACTGGAGTGCAGTGGCCGCTCCCGGCCACCACGGCCTCGCCCTCCTGGGCTCCGGCGATCCTTCCGCCCCAGCCTTCCGAGTAGCTGGAATACAGGCACGCGCTACCACGCCCGGCTCATTTTTTGATTTATGGTAGAGATGAGATCTCGCTGCCCAGGCGGGTCTCAAACCCACAGGTTCAGGCAATCCACTCACCTCGGCCTCCCAAAGGCGTGGGATTACAGGCTGAGCCACTGAGCCTGGCTCTCCGCCTGATTTTTAAAAAATACTTATACAAGTCATACATGATAACTTAAAAAATGTGGCACAAAATAAGGAACCACCACCTGAATTCCCACTAACCAAAGACAATCACCGGTATACAGTGTCCCCAAGTAAACCTCCTATAAGAAAATGAAACACACACACACATCAGTATACCATACGTTTTGTTAGGTCTTAGATGTACCTGGCCATGGTGGAAACACTATGCCATTTTATAGATTTCCCATAATTACTTAACAGTCCGTTACTGAGAATTCAACTCAGAAATGCTGCTCTTACAGTATCGGTAGAAACATCCCTTTACACATATCCTCACACACTTGTCCTATTGGGATAGATTTCTAAGGGTGGATATTTTGGATCCTGTATCTGTTTTTATCTTCCTTTTGTTGGAGTGAGTGGTCACAGATACCATTTTATTTTATTGATTGATTGAGTTGGAGTCTCACTCTGTTGCTCAGGCTACAGTGCGAGGGTAATGCTCCCGGCCACAGCAGCCTCAACCTGCTGGGCTCCGGCGATCCTTCCGCCTCAGCCTTCCAAGTAGCTGGAACTACAGGCATGAGCCACCACACCCGGCTAAGTTTTGGGTTTATTGTGGAGACGAGGTCTTGCCAGGTTGTCAGGCTGGCCTTCAGCCCCTGGGCTCAGGCAGTCCTCTTGCCTTGGCCTCCCAAAGTGCTGGGATTACAGACTTGAGCCACCGCGTCTGCCCCCCCCCTCTATTTTAAAAAGAAAAATAAGGGCTACTTGAAGTGAAGGGAGAGTTGAAGCTTCTTGCTGAAAGAGCCTTCAAAAGTGGCTCTTACCTTTTGTAAGGTCCTCAGCAAAATAGTTTTTCTTGTGAAAAAAGTTGCTTTTGTTCCTTTTCTCCCTTTCCCCCAGCAGGGATAGGAACACCTGGCAGAATAAAGAAACATTCAGCCGGGCTCGGTGGCTCAGCCTGTAATCCCGTGCCTTCGGGAGGCTGAGGTGAGTGGATTGCCTGAGCCCGCGGGTTCGAGACCCGCCTGGGCAGTGAGACCTCATCTCTACAATAAACCAAAAAAACCAGCTGGGCATGGTAGCGCATGCCTGTAATTCCAGCTACTTGAAAGGCTGAGACGGAAGCATCGCTGGAGCCCAGCAGGTCGAGGCTGCGGTGGCCGGGAGCGGCCACTGCACTCCAGTTTGGATTAGGAGACAAGTTGTTCAAAACTAAATACTGCAGTACTTCTGCCAGTTTGGGGAGCCAGTATAAGCGGTTGGTAAATGGCAAGAGGTGAGGGTTGGGAACTGGCTGTACTGTATGAGCAGAAAACCAAGGTCATTACTATTTCATTTGGCAATTTTCTTAAATCAATTAACTGAATTAGTTAACAGAGCTGGCAATTTGAAAGTATGAAAAGAGAGCCTTGGCAGTCATGGACTGAAGCTGGTGTACTTTATTCTTTTGATAGATGCAGTTCTAGTAAGCATAGTTAACTGGCTCCAGCCATGAGGGTTATAATAAGGAGCGAGTGAAGAGAAAGGAAATGAGAGGGCACCAGGGGAGATACACAGAACAAGATGAAGAAACAGTCGATAGCAGATAATTGTGCATAAAATAATTGTGGTGCTATTACAATATTCATCTCAAGAAGATTAGTTTCATAAGTTTGTTTTAAGAAGCTAGGAATGATGTTTTTGGAAGATCAAAGTACCTTAAGTGGTACTTGAAGAGGAAAAGAGTTTTTTTTTTTTTTTTGAGTTGGAGTCTCGCTCTGTCGCCCAGACTGGAGTGCAGTGGCTGCTCCCGGCCACTGCAGCCTTGACCAGCTGGGCTCCAGCGATCCTTCCGCCTCAGCCTTCCGAGGAGCTGGAACCACAGGCACGCGCTACCACGCCTGGCTAATTTTTTGATTTATTTTCAAGATGAGGTCTCACCAAGTTGCCCAGGTCTCAAACCTGCAGGCTTAGGCAGTCCACTCACCTCAACTTGTCAAGGCGTGGGAGGAAAACATTTCTGAAGAAATCTTTTTTGTGAAGTATTTCACTATCTGATAATGCCAGGTGGCTGTTACATTCATAATCTGTAAGGATTTGGAACCATAGAATTTAAATCATGAATATTAGGTATATATTGTTAGGATTGATTTTTAAAAGTGGTCTTCTAGCTAGTGTTATTAGTTAAAAACCAAACTTTATTAGAAAAAGAGTACAAAACTTCAGATAGGCAAGAAAAATGTTCAGTGCTTTCTCCTTTAAAAGCTCACAGAAGCAAGCTTTCTCTGAACCTTTGCTCATACATTAGCTTGTACAGAGAGTTCCTTGGCATAATGTTGGCTCCCATAAAGCTTTTCTTAACATAGACTGATGCTCGGTGTCTTCGGATTTGTTATTATCACAAAATGTGTTATGTTCTTAATAAATTGCTAGTTGGGGCTGGGCGCAGTAGCTTATGCCTGTAATCCCAGCTCTTTGGGAGGCAGAGGCAAGGGGATTGCCCGAGCCTAGGGGTTCAAGACCAGCCTGGGCAGCTTGGTGAGACCTTGTCTCTCTAATAAATCAAAAAGTTAGCTGGGCGTGGTGGTGTGCTCCTGTAGTTCCAGCTATGGGGAAAGCTGGGGCAGAAGGACCACCTGAGTCCAGGAGGTGTCAAGGCTGAGGTAGCCGTGAGCGTGCCACAGCACTCCAGCCTGGGCAACAGAGTGAGACTTTGACTGAAATAAATAAAAATAAAAATTGCTAGTTGGTATAAAAATACTAAAGGAATATTCTTGCTGGTTCAGTAACAAAATTGACAACTGGTGTTTCAGCTGCTTTTGAACTTAGTGTGATGACAGTGTAGTTGTATAAGAGCGGGCTTGAGCTTATTTTTTCATGTGAGTTGTTACATTAACTTAATGGGAATTAATGGTCACTGTTTAAAGAATCTTTAAAATCAATTATGCTCTTTCAGCAAGGGATAGGTATCTAGATTCCATGATGCTTTTTAGAGTGTCTTTTAAAAAGGGTTCACGGTATACATCTTTCTTTAACATAAAAGTTTTTTATTGTAGTAACATGAAATCTGTTTTTTTTTTAAGGCAATAAAAATGCTGTATTTTCCTTTTAATAAAGGAAAATTCTAAAAGGATTTGGAAAATGGGGGTGGGGAGTAATGTAGGGAAGTGGCGGTGTGGGCTGTTAAGATATTAATGGGGTGACTTTGACGTGTAACAGTGTCTTTTTATAGGCATAATCATTTGTATTCTAAATAAATAAAATTAAGCCTTAGACATGAGATGTTCTTTTTTTTATTTTGGGACAGTTTAGTGGCGAAAACACTTTATGGTATGGTTTTTTCCAGAAGTTTTGTAATGGGATCCATCATTGTAAGGTTTAAGTTTTATGTCTTGAAGTGTTTTCCACTCTTTTGACTTTTCCCCTTGTATTTGAATACATCTTACTGTTTTTCCAGTCACAAGCTGATAGAATCATTAGTCCTGTTTTAAGACTTCTTGGAAATCCTGTACTGAAACCTAACTTAAAAATGCTTTTATATTAACATTGATGAGCTCCAAATGAAAACTCCAGATGGCATTAGCCGGACGCTGATTTGTGTTCTTGTAATACATAGGGACTTCATCGGCAACATCCTCACCGTTAAAAAAAGAACAGCCCTTATTTACTCTACGACAGGTTGGGATGATCTGTGAACGTTTGTTGAAAGAACGTGAAGAGAAAGTTCGAGAAGAGTATGAAGAAATTTTGAACACAAAACTTGCAGGTATGAGTTTATTTTAGAGTCTCCTGAAAACTCAGTGGTAAGAAATGTGTTATTTCCCACGTGTACCGTATATCAGTTAAGTTACCCTTTCTATATATGGTACAATATGTTGTCTGAGAACCAGAGAATTTTCAGTTCGAGAAAGGAAATAAACCTTTTTGTGACTCATGGCCCACCTTCGTGACCTCGGAAAGCTAGTCATGTAGATAAGCAGAAGCATTAGCCAATTAGATTTTTCTTATTTACCTTGTGCTAAAAACTGACTTTAGCTATTTACAGCTCATTTGGATGTGAATTTTTGGACTTTATATCATTAATTTTTCCATCATTCTAGACATTTAAAATACCTGATTGGCTTGCACTGTATACATCATTTTAGATGATCAACCTGCAGTCTGAATGATCAGAGACATTCAGTAAAATTAGATGATTTAAGTGCAGCAAGTAAAATTTATTACACATGATAACATAATCAGAATGTTTTTTCTGAGCCACAGAATTTACTGCATATATAGATAATTGTAAGCTATTTGATTCTTTTTTTTTTTTTTTCTTGAGTTGGAGTCTCACTCTGTGGCCCAGACTGGAGTGCTGTGGCCGCTCCCGGCCACCGCAGCCTCAACCTGCCGGGCTCCGGCGATCCTTCTGCCTCAGCCTTCCGAGTAGCCGGAATTCCAGGCATGCACTACCACGCCCAGCTGATTTTTTGATTTATTGTAGAGATGAGGTCTCGCTGCCCAGGTGGGTCTCGAACCCGCGGGCTCAGGCAATCCACTCACCTCAGCCTCCCAAAGGCGTGGGATTACAGGCTGAGCCACCGAGCCCGGCTGCTGTTTGATTCTTAAGGAGCTAAATCAAGGTGTTAATGCAGACAAGAGAATTTGATTAGTTATATAACATCTTTCCATGCCATCTGATTAGGTTATAGGTGGATGTTATTGTGTTATTTCTTCCTCTCATTGCAGTAAATTGCCATTCATAGACTTAAGTAACCCTTCAAAGTAGAAAGGTCTTTTTATTGTAAGACCTTTATTTTTAATTGTTAGGAAATAAACCCCACCTAACCTGTACATGTGACCTGGAGACTAATCCAGAGGTTTCCTGACTAATAATAAGCTCCTTGCTCTTTCCACTGGATATACTACTATTACTACTGAGGTTATACAAGTGATTAAAGTTTCAATTTCAGTCCTTTCACGGCACCATTTTTTGTATTTTCACAGTGTATCTGGCTCTAAGGTTAGAGAGGGCACTTTGCAAGTCATGTAATTGACATGTACCTTTATTTATAGAACAATATGATGCATTTGTGAAGTTTACGCACGATCAAATAATGCGACGATATGGAGAACAGCCTGCTAGTTGTAAGTGTTCCACCTTTAAAGTTACAAACTGAGAACAGTACCATCTTTTAAGAAGACAATATTATTATTTTCATACTTAAGACAATTTAACGGAAAATTATGGAATATCTGGAGAAAATAGCACAGCTTTGGAAGGCTTTGGATACTTAAGTGCCTGGGGCAATACTGGGAATCAAGATCTGGTATTTCTTTGAATTTTGACCTGTACTTGGCACTAATTTCTGTTTTCTCCCACTTTAGATGTTTCATGAATCACGTATTCTGCATTTATGGGCTGCCTTGTTCCTTGTTGAGTTGTCGCAAGAGGTCCCAATTATGACAGGCAGCAATGCAAGTATCCCCCTGTGAATACAGGTTATTTCAAGCTTTCGTCAGTGGAACCCACTCCTGGGCAGCAGCAACTGGTTTGGGGAACGTCCCTGATGTCAGCACCACCTGGATGTGGACCTTTGCTACCTGTATTGATACCAGTGGCCTCATTTTGCTGTATCATTACAATTTGGCTTCTTATATTAATGTGTTTGGAAAGGATTAAAGCTGGCATTCTAGAACATGCCCTTCACTGGTTATGTAAATAAAACTGTAGAATGACACTTGAAATGAAGTTAGTGTGGTTTTAATTGTGCACTACAACCAAGCTGTAACCAGTTATTAATAATTTAGAATGTAAATCCCAGGACAATATTAAGCAAATAGACTCCAGTGCTTCCTGTGAAATAGTGGAGGAGGAGGGCGTTTCTGTATTCCAGGACTTCTTGGGGTTTCAGAAGGGGTTCGTATGATTTTCCTTTTCTTTTTTTTTTTTTTTTGGTAGTTTTATTTATTCCGTCAGTCTTTTTAATAACAAATGTTTATTGCTGCACTTTTTTTCCCAGCGTACCATTGTTTGACCGCCCTTGTAGTACTGGAATTTAGTTGGAAGAATAAAACATTTACTTCTGTCCTTCTTGTAGTATCTGAATAAAGTCAGTGTTTTAAATGTAAGCATTTTCCAGGAGTCAATGAAGTCAATTTTCTGATATGATCTGAGTACTATTTTTAAAAACTGAGTTTTGAGTCTAAGCTGCTTCTTCTGTAACTCAACTGCATGATGGAATATTGCATAATAGGTCAGTTTTAACAGCTATATAACTTTTTTTTTTAACCACAAAGGTATCAGTAGAATCCAGTTTCATTTTTTTAAGGACTTGATAGGTAAAGGATGATTCAACTAATTTAACTCTACATACATGGTTTCTAGACAGCTTTCTTGAATGACGTGAGCAAAAAAATGCTTCAGTGAATTATTTTGTTAAATTCTAGCAGCATATTTCCACTAATTAAGCCAATCTTTATAAGTGTACTGGGACAGATACATTTACAATTGACCTAATTAGTGGGAGAGTTTTTTTCTTTTTAACTTGGTTAACGGTATTCACCCAGCCCCAAAAGTGGCGTAGGGCTTTTGCAAGAACCCCAGGCGATTCACGTGTCTGTTCGTGTCTGAGAAACATTGGTCTGGCACAGGGCGGCAGTGAGGCCAGGAATTCTACCTGCTTTCAGTGGTCTGCTGCAGAGATTCTCAACCACAGCACTACTGGCAGTGTGGCCCAGATCATTCTTTGTTGTGGGGGCTATTCCTATGTGTTCTAGGATGCTCAGTCCTATCCCTGGCCTCTACGCTGGCGGCCTCCCCACAGCTGTGATATCCAAAGTGTGTCCAGAGATTGCCAGACGTCCCTAAGCGACAAAACAGTTCTCAGCTGAGAACCACTGGTTTAGCGATAGCACTCTTAGAAGAAGCGAGCAGTAATAATATGGAGGTGTGCAAGTAGAGCGCGGATAAGCATGTTTTATCCTTAACACCAGTAAGGCCAAAAAGAATGAACATTCTTTTGTTAATAAGCATGTGTGAGTTTTTACATAGATTTCAAACTTGTAAAGGAGTTCGTTTTATGCTTGGAGGGCAAGATAAGACATAACTGAAAGTGCTGGGAAGTAATAAGGTTTTAATTCTACACCCTACTTTCATCAAAAATTTTCGTCCACGGCCAAATTTCTGTATTATTGCCTCCAAAATCCTAGCTTGTGGGCTACTTACTGATTTTGGATGGACCCGGTAGCTGATTAGTCCAAATACCAACCACACAGAATTTCAGTAGAAAGATTATATTAGCTCCCCAGGGGTTCTGAATTTCTAAAGATCCTTGAAATTGCTTTATTAATAAGCAGAAATCTACAGCACTTAGTATGTTAACAGTCATTACTGTCATGTATTCTGCAAATCTCTGACAAGCACACATACTGAGGTGCAATTCTTAGTACTTCTGAGGAAAAATAGGCAATTTGAGAGAAATAAACATTAGGGATTTAAAACAGCAAAGCTGTCTTTGGCCTATGGCAAGAGCTTTACATGAACCTAAAGAAAATGGTTTCCACAGACACCGCATCAACCACATCACCTGGGGAGCTTTTAGAAAAGGTCCTCGGGCTCTACCCTAGAGACGGCGTCAGAAGGTTGGCGGAGGGAGAACGGCGGAGGGGAGAACATGTGCGGCCTCAGTGATCCAAGTGGCGAGGGCTGGAAATGACCACCTTTGACCCATTTGGGTTTCCTCACTTTGTCCCTTCAAAAGTGTGGTCACGGGTGTTGGCAAGTGACTGTTCTGCTCAAGCACCCTAATAGTCTGTCCCTGTCTGCTTGTGGACACGGGGCTCCTGCATTTGACCGAGGTGAGGAGCATTAGATCCGCGCCGTCAGAGACACAGCTCCGGCAGCCTCTCCTTTCCTGCATCCTGTTCGTTCTATGAGGTCATTTCCATAGGCACAATAAACATGTTGTGAAAAGTCTTTTGGCCAAATACCCTTTTCCAGCTATTACTCTGTTTTACTGCTCCCTTTATCGCAAGACTCGAGAACTTTCTAAACTTCCTAGTTTGTCATCCTTTACTTTTTTTCACAAACTTGTTTTATTAGGAAAAAATTCAAAGGTTGAATAGTCTAATGACCCATTTAAATTGAAGTTAATATTTTGTTCTATTTGCCTTAAATATATATTTGAACCGTTTCAAAGAAAGTTGTAGGCATGACAGTACTTAAACATGCATCTCCTAAGAATATGGTTCTATATAACGCAGTATCATTGCCCCCCACTCAAAGTGCATCTTGGATGTAACATCAGTTACTTCAGATTTTCCCACTTCTCTCAATTTGGTTGTTTTCCTATAAACAGCTCTTTGCCCCCCAGTCACCCAAACAAGTAGGATTCAGTCAAGAGTCCTACTTTCTGTTGTCTTTTTTCTTGTTGCGCCATTAATCTCTCCTATTCCTTTAAACCTCCTGTGAACAAAGTGAGGGTTACGGTTTTTCTTCGTTTCTGGCTAAACTGTTCATGCAAGAGTGAGCGGTGATCCTGAGGTCCCCATATCGTGTCATGCAATGTGTGGCTCTTACAGGGTGTTGGGTCACTTGGCTAGAACATTCGATTGGAGAAGCCTATCAGGCTTTGTCTTCACTACCCGCCACTCTTGGTGAAAATCACCAAAGATTTCCACAGTACTAGATACACTCAACAATCAGCATTTGACCTTGAAACCTTTTCAGCTGGCTTGCAAGGTCTCATCACACTTGCCTGACTTTACTTCTCTACTGGCTGCTCCTGCTCAGTCTTTTAATGCTGACCCAACCTTCATTTCCCTGAACTTTACTAGAACACACAGGCATGCTACTGGGTCGGACCTTGGCTCCCTGTCTCTCTTTTCAGTACTCATTTCAGTGATACCATCTAATCATAAGGATCTCTATCATAGTCACCTTCCTTTGTGACATCTTCACTTTAATAACTGAGATCCCCAAATTTACGTCCAAAGCCAAACTCCTTGCTTTTGGCTGTTAAATTTCCCCTCCCAGTCCTCCCCGGTCACTTAATGGGAACTCCATTCTCCTTTCAGCCAGAAACAGTCTTGGACTTTTCACATCCGTCCTCTGATCTCACTTCCACCTCAAATCCTGTGATCCGCCTGCTGTTACCCTAGTCTGAGCCTGCTTGGGTTATTTCAGTGGTCCCGACTGGTGTTTCGCCTCATTGTCTCTGCTCACCCCCTCATCCTACTCTTGCAGCCACCAGAGTGATCCTTCAAAGGTCTGAGTCTTGGCCAGGCACGGTGGCTCAAGCCTGTAATCCTAGCCCTTTGGAAGGCCGAGGTGAGAGGACTGCCTGAGCCCATGGGTTCGAGACCCGCCTGGGCAACCTGGTGAGACCTCGTCTCTACAGTAAATAAGTTAAAAATCAGCCAGGTGTGGTAGCTCATGCCTGTAGTTCCAGCTACTTGGAAGGCTAAGGCGGAAGGCTCGCCTGAGCCCAGCACGTCAACGCTGGGGTGGCCGTGGGCCTGCCACTGCACGCCAGCCCGGGCGATGGAGTGAGACTCCAACTCAAAATAAGTAAAGGTCTAAGTCTTCTACTTATAGGCCTTCCTGCCTGAGTAAAAGCAGCATTACAATGGACCACAGAACCCTAAACTACCTGCGCTCCGCTCCACCGCACTCAATTTCCTAATGGCTTTCTCTTGCTCTGCTTATCCACCCTGGTCACCTTGCTGTTCCTCTAAGGTAGGTTGCCTGCTCTCGCCTCGGGTTCCCTAGTCTCTGCCTGGAATGCCCCTCTCCCACAGAACTCCACCACTTTTGAGTTTTGGCTCAAGTTTCATCTCCAGGAGGCCAGCTCTAACCACACCGCCTAAAGTTGCAGCCTGTCATCTGGTTCTTTTGACCCTGATGTTTTTTTCCTGTAACATACTATCTAATTGTTCTATTCCCTCTGCTGCAATACACTGAAGGCAAGGATCGTAAGTGCCTAGAATATCGTGCCTGGCAGAGGATACATGCTGAGTATCTTGAAATGAATTTCACACTACGATTCAGGGTTTTCAGATGACTGTTTCATTAAAAGGTTTAGTGAATATGAATACTGGTAAGGTATTCTGGTCCAAGTTTTCCTGGATTAAGGGATGGACATAGAATTGAACCAACATTTCATAGACTGAGGGTTTTATGCTCTATTAATGATTACCACAAAGGAGCTTCATGTTTTAATTTTAAAGCTCTTTGGGGTATTCACTGTGAAAATAGGGCAGTTTCCAATCTGCTACTCTCTTACCTAATCATTTTTTTTTTTGAGTTGGAGTCTCCCTCTGTCGGCCAGCCTGGAGTGCGGTGGATGCTCCCGGCCACTGCAGCCTCGACCTGCTGGGCTCCGGCGATCCTTCTGCCTCAGCCTTCCAAGTAGCTGGTACTACAGGCGTGCGCTACCACGCCCGGCTAATTTTTGATTTATTGTGGAGATGAGGTCTCGCCAAGTTGCCCAGGCGGGTCTCGAACCTGCAGGCTCAGGCAGTCCACTCACCTCAGCCTCCCAAGGCGCGGGATTACAGCCTGAGCCACCGAGCCCGGCTTCTTACCTATCTTTAAGTAGGTGGTGAGGAAAACCAAAGTGCTTCAGTGCATGACATGCCTTTTGGTTACCTACATTCAGCTAAGTGCCCAGCAAAAGAAGAGCAGGGCAGGGCCGCTCATTTTACTCAAGGAACACGTGCCCAGACAGACGTGGGTCTGCTGGTCTGTGTGAGGCAGGTTCCTCTGTACCTTGGATGAGTGTTTGAATAAATGGCTTCTACACGCTGGCAGTTTTATCCGGTGTTCATCTGCATAACTGGAAAGCTGGAGGAAACCACTCCGTACATGTCGATGGTGTCCTCATCCACACAGTATGGAGGATCGGAAAGCCCTCCCCACCGCCGACTGCCTCCCTTAAACAGGCAACAGATGGCAAAATCCTTCAAGTCATCTCCACATTCTTCCCCTGGATTTTTACCCATCAGTATGAAAAAATGGAGTGCACGGTTGGGCACATTTGGCTGAAGAAACATCAGAATGTTGAGAAAACATACTGAGCTGACTGCAGTGAAGGCAAATCATGGGGCATTATTAGCCTCACACCACAGAAGTCTGGTCGTGTGCGTCTGGCACAGGCTCTGCTCCACGCCCTCACCCACGGATCCCGAGGATGACAGGGGCTCTGCCTTGCGTGCACAGGTTCATGGTTTCTTCCTCGTGGCTGCGCTTGCATATCCTAGATTCCCTAACTTTCAAGTTGACAGTCCTGTGTACGTATGGACAAGTATTCAAATTCTGGTGAATAAGAAATTCTGGCATCTTAGATGAAGGTAATAAGACATTTAGTCTACCTTAAAGACGCTACTGTGGTAACTCTTTCTAAAAGCCTCCAGGGCTAGATGCTTTCTGGTTCTGACTTGTAGTTGAGTCTTTGTTTGAGTGTGATCTCACTCTGTTGCCCGGGCTGCAGTGCAGTAGCGTAATCATGACGATCCTGGCTCATGGCAAACGTGACCTGTGTTCGGGTGAGGCTTTCACCTCCGTATCCCGAGTACCTGGGACTACGGGTGTGTGCCACCACACCCGCTAATTTTTTGATTAGAGACAAGGTTTTGCGATGTTGCCGGGGCTGGTCTCGAACGCCTGGACTCCAGCAGTCTGCCTGCCTTGGCTTCCCAAAGTATTGGGATTACAGGCTTGGGTGCTGTGCCTGACCCAATTATTTCTGGTACTTGGGGCCCCCCTTCTTTTCGGCCCTGAGAACATCGCGACAGTCTGTTTTTGAGGTCGACTGCCACGCGGCATTTTTAAGCTAGAAGACTGAAAGAACCGGGAGGGCAGAGGCAGCTAGGCCCTCTGCCGTCGCCAAGAACCTGCAGGAGCGTCGTGTTACTCACCGGGCCCCACGCTGGAGGGCAGAGGAGTGGCAGTGCAGGAAACTGGGGGAGGGGGAATGAACACAAACTGCACCAAACGAGACTCCGGGATAAAGGAACACACCACACTTGCAAACTGCACGCGCAAATGATTTACTCGCAACTCGTGGCGACTGACAGGTGCAGAGACAATGTGTTTTAACGACAAGGATGACGCTGTTGTCGCCCACCGTACTCCAGTGGGGTCCTGACAGCCACCCGCTTGGGGCCAGCTCGCAGAGTTTTCCACATCACGTGGGCAAGGCGCACCCCTCCTCTCGCCACAGCCGTCTCTAGTGAGATGTTAGGACGGCACATCTTTTCGGCTCCATGCCGCGGCCTCAGCTTCACGCATTCGCATCCTAGCAGCCTCCCCAGGTCAGCCTTGCCACGTGGTCCGTCTTCTGTTTGGTAGGTCTGATAAACCCTAGAAGTTCTAGTTCAGAAACAGCTCGAATAAACCGAGCACTGGAGGCTTAGCTAAGGAAATTGGCCATGCTATATTTCTGACAAAAAGTGGTTAGAATTTTGATGCTAAAATATTCTTCAGTAAGGTAAAATCGATAGTTCAAAAATATACTAAATTTTTTTCCCTTGAGTTGGAGTCTCACTCTGTCGCCCAAGCTGGAGTGCAGTGGCTCAGGTTATCCTTCTACCTCAGCCTTCCGAGTAGCTGAAGCCACAGGCGAGCACCGCCATGCCAGCTAATTTTTTGACTCATTGCAGAGGTGAGGTCTTGCCAAGTTGCCCTGGCTGGTCTTGAACCCCTAAGCTCAGGCAATCCTCTCACCTCAGACTCCCAAAGTGCTGGGATTACAGGCATGAGCCACCGTGCCCAGTTTACTCCTAAATTAAACTGTAACCCTTATGTAATTGGAATCTACTGTCAGTAAGACACGAATGGAAAAGTACTATACACGTACCTAAACCTAATTTTTCACAGTATGAAAATTGCTCCTCACCCCACTTTTCTTTTTTTTGAGTTGGAGTCTCACTCCATGGCCCAGACTGGAGTGCAGAGGCCGGTCCCAGCCACCGCAGCCTCAACCCGCTGGGCTCCGGCGATCCTTCTGCCTCAGCCTTCCGAGTAGCCGGGATTTCAGGCATGTGCTACCATGCCTGGCTCATTTTTTGATTTATTGTAGAGATGAGGTCTCGCTGCCCAGGCGGGTCTCGAACCCGCAGGCTCAGGCAACCCACTCACCTCAGCCTCCCAAGACGCGGGATTACAGGCTGAGCCACCGAGCCCGGCTCCCACTTTTCAAAGTACATTAGAAAAATAGAGAATTCAATAATGGCAGTTTTGTTTTTGGTAAACTTTAGAATATGACCTTGATATATATAAACGTGAGACTGTATATTTTAGGTTTGTTTCATTTAAGATTAAAATACAGATTTAGAAATTTCAGTTATTTTGGCACAGTATGGTTTATACTGACAAGTACTAAGGTTGTATGGAGCACATCTTTACAACTCTAATGTAGATTCAGAGAAAGTATAAACATTTTATGTGTACTTGGGCATTGCAGAAATGGTTTTAAAAGGATACTGGATAATTTCATTCATTTTGTCTGAGGTTGCAGAATTTGCATCCATTTTTTCAGCAGCTGTCACAACTGTTGCAAAAGCCTTTTGAATAGACAAGACAGAAGCAAATAAAAATCTCTACAGTTGCCAAGCATCTCCTTTGGTGGTTCTGTAATTAAGCCAGGTCTGACACTGCTGCTGCTGATAGATGGCATGGCTTTTTTCAATATATTGAATTTCAGACTCTCAAAACGACACTGATTATCGCTGTAAACCAATTATATATTAAAAGATAATGTAATGGTTCCTGAATAATTTTGTTTCAGAGAACTAAGTATGCAGAGAAAAACAAGAAACAAAGCTAGTCTCAGTTAAAAGGCAAAGAAAGCCCTGTCTCCTCTGCTCAGGAAAATGCCTGCTTTTCTTGGAAGCAGCCGACTATGCATATTTTTTAATGGTGACAAGACATCAGTAGGGCCTTCGACAGAGCTAAGACCTTTGTAATACTATTCTGGGGAGGGAAAGAACAGTTATTTATTTTGAATAACCACCGCTGTCTATTGCCTTGCCAAGTATTCCTTGTACTTCCTGATTGCTGAATCGGCTGTGTTGTCATTCCAATATTTTTTCTTTTACTTTTTTTTTATGCAAAAGGGAAATGTAGTTAGTAATATCCTTTGTGAAATAACAGGATTGACCCGAATTGCCTAGTTCTTGCTTAATGCCAGCTATTGGGTTCGATCACTTACTTATTTTGACTCGGCGTGAACACAGAATTGCTCGGTGGAGGAATGAAGGGCCAGAGAGCAGGGGATGGGGAGTGGAGACTGCTGAACTGCCATTTCCTAAGGGGCTTCTGATGGCGATTTATGCTTCCCAAACAAAACACGGCTTTAAAATAGAAGATGAGATCCAAAGCACTAACATTCTAGGAAGGTGGTCTTGGACGGTTAGACAAATATTGCAGCTTGTAGTGCTCAATACACTTACCCACCAACCTACCTCTGACCAGTCCACAAGGTTGATCAGCCTGCTACACTCTAAGTGCAGTTTATATGCTATGCAAATGTCCGGAGCGATATTTGGAATGCAACCTTCTTCACTTTTCAGTGCTTCGTTCTAAAAAATAACAGTCAACTAAGATGATTACCTTGTAGAAATGATTAGGAACAAAATCAGACATCAGTGGATCCCCAGCCTAAATTCAGTAAAAACCAGTCAATGGAATCTTTTGGTTTCCTTTGCTTAGTGGCTGAGTCTACTCTCCAATGTTCGTTCTTGTTGAGGTTTGGGCCTTGGTCGTAATCCCTCTAGTTTTTAGTCAATAGAAGAATATTCCCAGGGTCAAAAGACAAAGCTATTTTTCATTTTAGCCATAAATTATTAGTTTCTGAGACACGAATACACTTGATTGTCATAAAGAATACATGGAATTACTTGGGAATATTCAATAAAATGGTACTTTCAACAATTGTAATTACCTGCATTCTGGCAAATACTATACTGTATTAGTAAATACCAATATGCTACTAGCAAGGGTATAAGATACCTTTCAGAGAAAAGACTGTAAGCCCTATAGAAATCATCAGTGTTTCTTCGATCTGTTTTAACTCCGTGGTTCTTACTGGGAAACACCAAATCTCGCGGACATACCCCATTCTGGATATTATCAGATCCCCCCCAATGACTGCCAAAATCGCAGCAGATTTCTTCTGTGACCTGTTAGCCAAGTCAGATTTCATAAGAGTTTTAATATGTGGTTTATATTTTGTACATTTTTGTTCTTTAAACATGAAATTATTCAAACCACCTGTTACCACCATCACTGAAAACCACCGATATATTGTCCTATGCAGTATTATTCTCTTGCAACACTTAGCATGTTTGTGTTCCATTCTGCAATGCAAAGCCAGTACGTTGGGATGCCCTCCAGAGGCTTATGAAGTCATATGTTTTAAGTATCTTGTGGCCAGATTTCTGGATACTTAAGTGAGTTGATAATTTACAACTCTTTTGTATATATGTAGCTTACTGAATATTTAGTGATCATTCTACCTGGTCATAAGTTAGTTTTTAAAATTGTGGCCAGGTGTAGTGGCTCACACCTGTAATCCCAGCGCTTTGGAAGGCTAAGGCAAGAGAGGAACGCTTGAGTTCGAGACCAGCCTGGGCAACATGGTAAGACCCTGTCTACAAACATTTAAAAAAATTTTTTTGGCTGGGCATGGTGGCTCATGCCTGTAATACCAGCACTTTGGGAGACGGAGGCAAGAGGATGGCCAGAGTCCAGGGGTTCAAGACCAGCCTGGGCAACTTGGTGAGACCGTCTCCAGAACAAATCAAAAAATTAGCCAGGCATGGTGGTGTGTGCCTGTGGTTTCAGCTACTTGGAAGTCTGAGGTGGAAAGATCACCTGAGTAAGCCCAGCAGGTCAAGGCTGCAGTGGCCATGAGTGTACTACTATACTCTAGCCTGGGTGACAGAGTGAGACTGCGACTAAAAAAAAAAAAAAAATTTTTTTTTTTCTGTCTTAGCTCTCTTGTTTAAAAAACTTCAAGAAAGTACTAACTGTGTCTGGATTTTGGGTAGGTGGCTCTGCTGAGATGTGCTGCTGCCCAGGAGTTTTGGTGGCAACCATGTTCTACATTCATCTCTGCAGATACTCTCATTTTTCTGTCTTAGCTCTCTTGTTTAAAAAACTTCAAGAAAGTACTAACTGTGTCTGGATTTTGGGTAGGTGGCTCTGCTGAGATGTGCTGCTGCCCAGGAGTTTTGGTGGCAACCATGTTCTACATTCATCTCTGCAGATACTCTCATAACAAACCTTTCTTTAGTTTAAAATCCAAGATGAGGCCAGGCGCAGTGGCTCACATTTATAATTCCAGCACTTTGGGAGGCTGAGATGAGAGGGTTGCCTGAGCCTGTGGGTTTGAGACCAGCCCGGGCAACTTGACGAGACCTCATCACCACAATAAATCAAAAATTAGCCGGGCACGGTGGTGTGTGCCTGTGGTTCCAGCTACTTGGAAGGCTGAGGCGGCAGGATGGCCTGAGCCCAACAGGTCGAGGCAGTGGTGTCCGAGAGCATGCCACTACACTCCAGCCTGGGCGACAGAGTAAGACTCCCACTCAAAAAATAAAAAAAATAAAAATCTAAGATGAAATCCCAAAGTGTTTGTTTTTTCCACTAAAGACAACCACTTGGATTTTGAAGTAATTTCTTTTTTTGCCTCTTAATTTTTTTTTAATTTTAAAGATGTGGGGTACAATTCAGAGATAGGTATACAAATGTTCATTGTGCAAGTACCCTTGTTGATGAGGTGTGCCCCCTTCCCCAGACAGATTCCCACTACTGCCAATCCCGCTTCCCTATCCCCCTCCCAGCAGTTTCCCCACTACTGCTAATCGTTCTCTTACAGTATTATGATAATTATTCAAGGTCTGCTTATGAGTTAGAACATGTGATACTCGGTTCTTCGTTGAAGTAATTTCATTAGGCCATATTGTTTGACCCCTATGTGCTGTTATGTCTATAGGAAACACTTCCTTTATTTTCACAAGAGTAAACAGCATTACACTCTTTAGTCTTTTTTTTTTTTCTGAGTTGGAATCTCACTTTGCTGCCCAGGCTGGAGTGCAGTGGCACGCTCATGGCCACTGCATGCTCTACCTGCTGGGTTTAGGTGATCCTTCCACTTCAGCCTTCCAAGTAGCTGGAACTACAGGCATGAGCCACTGTGCTCGGCTGATTTTTTGATTTATTGTAGAGTTGAAGTCTCACCAAGTTGCCCGGGCTGGTCTTGAACCCGGACGAAGACAATTCTCTCACTTCAGCCTTCCAATGTGCTGGAATTATAGGTGTGAGCCACTGCACCTGGCCATTATACTCTTTAGTCTATGATCATTATACTCTTAATGTCTATGATCTGTTTTGTCACATGAAGGGCAGTTTACAAATGGTCAAAAATGGGTAGCATCAGTTGACTACTGATTGGTATGCTTACAGGGTTAAAAACTCCCTCTAAAGTCTAAAGAATTTTAAAATACGCATATGAGAGGCACAGCCCTGAGCTGTCAACTCTCTGCTCATTAAAACAGAAATGCAAATGGACAAAATTTTTGTGAGAATGAAGCCCAGAGCCTGAGCTAACTGGTCAGAGAACCGAACTGCTTCCTACCTTCAGATAATAATAGGGGTTGTTGAGTGCAGTGTGGAGGGCCATTCGTGGGGCAGCATTCAAGTGCTCCCGCAGGGTATGGGCGGCACTGAAGTACACCACCTCATGCAGAGGCTGCGTCTCAGGAGGCAGCAGGTATTCTCTGAAACAGCCCAAGGCAGGTGGAGTGTTTAGATCAGCACAGGTGTATTTTCAACATAACATTTTTCATATCCTTCTGTGGAGGACTGAACAATTTACTAAAGGAAAATCAAAAACGACCAAAAACAAACAAATGAAACGAAACCCAAATATCCAATCTAGTACGGTTTCACTCAGAGTTGTACTTCTTCCAGATAATATTTTTTAAGACAATCTTTAGACTCTTTAGAAGAAATTACACATTTCAGTTCTGAGTTAAAACTTCTGGAACAAATATACATATATTACATTTCTGCTCAAAAATCTCCCCCCTCCCTAAATCTTTAAAGTAGAATTTCTTTTTTTTTTTTTTTTGAGTTGGAGTCTCACTCTGTCGCCCAGACTGGAGTGAGTGGCCGCTCCCGGCCACCGCAGCCTCGACCTGCTGGGCTCCGGCGATTCTTCCGCCTCAGGCTTCCTAAAGTAGAATTTCTAAAAGCCTTAATGAATTTCTTCAAGTAAGCTATTTGGAAAGCTGAGATATCCACATTCTCTACCACAGCAAGCATTTAACTCGTGACAGTGTTAAACACAGGCCTCAGGCCTGGAATTGAAAATTAAGGAAATTCTTGGATCACTGAAAATGTTTTAGTTGATATCGTTCATGGAAATGACACCTCAAGTTTTTTATATATCAGAATTACTTTTTACTTTAGAAGGAAGAAAAAGCTAAATTTTAGTTACAGAGTATTGAAAAACAAATTATTCATCAATAAAGTTTTAAGGATAAAAGTAATCTACCATAACTTAGGATTCCACTCTCTCCTTTTCTGCACATGTGCTAGAGGACAAAACAACTGTGATGAAAGCCGAACTTAAAAAAACAGAGCAAACTGGGCTGTGCCATGACAGTAACAGGGTCTTGGGTGGCCTGGAGGGTAGTAAATTGTAACGGAGAAGCTTTGGCAGACACAGTCTAAAGACAGAGTAGTAAGTCGCTAACTGGATTAACGTATACATGCCTTCATAAAGCAGATTTCTGGAGCTTAATCCAGTCCTGTGTTTAAAGTATTTTGGCCATATGACAGATTGTGTCAGCTCCTTTTCCCACCAGCGCAGGCAGAGCAAAAGTTACTTCAGCCCAGCCACTGGGGGCATTATTCCTCTTCTTCCGGGTGTCCTGACTTTCTCTCCTCCGTTTGGAGAGGAGACCCAGACATCCCCAGTACCTGCTCTGACCTGGTGTGGACAGGGCTTGAAGAAGAGACGAAGTGAAAAGGACACACATCACTCCCTGACACTTCCCTCCTCCCCTGTCCCAAGCGCTCCTGACCCCTCTGCTCATTCCACTTCTAGGTGCTGCTCCTTCAGAACAAAACCTACTTGCCAAGAGAGTATGGTTTTGACTTGACCAGGAACCAGCATTTTTGTACTTCAAATTCTGCTGACATCTTAATTACTCAAGAATGAGCTGAGTTAGCTGTAGCTTCAGAAAAGGTTTTCTTTGATGTTGACTGTCTCCCTGGAAGGCTGGCTACCAATCTGTAACTTCTGACCATAAACATTTCCTACACAAACCACATACAGTTAGATCTCAGCCTTTATACTTGGCGTTCATTAAAAGATCTTGTTCAAGTCCCCTGCTATAGAGTAAGGACTGGAAATCTAACAAGGCAACCAGACAGAGTCACTTTCAGAAACTCAAACTACTGCCTTGCATTTGTACTCTTCTGCTGTTGTAACATCTTTACATTTAATGTTTTGAAATTCAGACAGTTCACAGGTCTTTTGGATATCCTTAGGGAACCTCCATCAGAGCAAATTAAAATATCTGCTTTTATTTTGTTTCTCCAGGCCACATTAGTTGAACAACAGTGACAAAACAACATCATACATTAGAAATTCATTCTGACTGTAGACTTGGAGACTGGCACAGAAATGTGCTTCTGCAACGTATCTGCTGTGAGAAGAAATAAGCAATGGGTCTGGCAGGAGAGCAAGCAATGTGTTATGCTCATTTTGGATTCAGATCAGCACTTACAAATCAATGACAGGCCTTCCCTGAGAGGTGGTTTTGAGAGAACTGGTAGGATTAGTATCAACAGGGGCTACAAAGTTGAAGCTTGATTTTGGTGAAAACAGTATCTTAGAAAGTGGCAATTTATTCTTAGCTCTCAAGATTTGGCCACTTATTCTTGCCTGTCAGTATCTTTGCCAAGAGCTGCTCGTGGCCTACTGTAAGCCCATCTTCCAAAACCTACTGCTTTTATTTATCTTTAAAGGACATCCTTTCTTGAGAACTCCAAGCTCTGTCTGAACACTGGTGATGTGGCCCTTGGGGGCAGTGTGGAGAAATAGGACCTTTTGACCCATGTTAGGAGACTGGTACTGTGTGACCTTGCACGAGTCACAGCCTCTCTGGGTTTTAGCTGCCACATAACTGACTCCTCAGGTCCCTGTTAGCTCTAACATGCTACAATCCTAATCTCTTCCCTCCTGGGGTAGACAATCTTGGTACAGACAGTAAATCCTAATGTGGAAGATTTTGTGATTTTATAATAACGTATTTCAGTCATGCTCAGCATTATTTCAAGAACTGCTCCGAAAGGTCAAAAGTCAAACATTAGGTCAAAGAAGAGGGAATGGCTGATGTGGCTTCAGAGTCTACAATTTGGAATTTGTAGAAACTCAGGAACTTGACATTTGCCCTATAAATGATGGCAAACGACACTGCAAAAACTGTTTTTAGTGACTACAGTTGTTCACTATCTGGTAGAAGTGAAGAGTCAGAAGTGTGAGGTGTAAGAACAGGAAAACCCACTAGGGTAACGCTAACTCTGTGATTTCTAAGATGTAATTTTTGACCAGTAGGTCAGTGCTTCACTTTGTTATGACGCACTTCTCTCTTTAACCTACTTTTTGTCATACTAGATTGATTATTTTGGACTTCTTTCATGGCATTAGTAATTTCTCCCCAATAACAAGGAACAATAACTCTGCCCCCACATTGTTCTGGAAAATAACTTACACTTTCAGAAAAGATGTAATTTTTATCAGAAAATCATTCTTTCTCTTCAGTAACTGAGCGGATTTTTTTTTTTCCTATTCAATGCCTAGCCAGCTGCTGGGTTTAAACTACCATTAAAAGTTAGAATAAACAATAACAAGTGTTTTCTACTTTTAATTACTAAATCTTTTTTTTGCACACTTCTCACTTTTTTTGGTGCTGTGTCCCAACTTCCTAAAAGGAGCTTATGTGGGCAATTTTACACAGCTCCATAAAGCTGGCTTCTGGAAAAGCATGAATCAGAATTATCCAAATTTCCCAAAAAGGAGTCATTTTAAAATACAGGCTGGCCTGGTGGACCTCTAAATTTACTAAGCAGATGTCCCAACATGAATCTAGTGCTGATAATGAGTGGCACCAGAGCATGGCTAGTCTGCTCTGTTTTCTGGGTTTGCCCCAGATCCAGCATTTACTCCTACCAAAGACAAAGCGTGATGCAAACATTCTGTTATTAGAAAGGGGAAAAGTACTCACTTTCTGTCTCCTCATCTCTTCCCACCTGGCCTAAAGAACTAGATCAGATTTAAACCTGTGTTCTTGAACTGAGAGTAAAAGAACGAACTAAGTCCATTTGATTAGATATCTTCATAAGGATGGAAAAGGAATACAAATTACAAATCTAAGCTGAATGGAGAGGCCCCAAAACCATAAATGTCCTGGATTGACTATGGACGGCTATTATACCAGTGTTATTTGGAAAAAAGGGCATGATTTTTAGTGCTTGAGAGCAACAGACTCACCTCACTAGACAGTCAATGAAGTTCACAACTTTTTCTCTGAGTACTTCAAACTTGGTTTGTTTCTTACTTGTTCTTCTTAACTCCTTCATTTCCAGTAAGGACTATAGATAAAAGAACAGAACTTTCCTGGTGACTGGAGACAGAAAACGCTTTAGAGGGAGCTCTGTTGCTAAGGCAGAGGCAGCTGATACAATCCCACAAGACAGGATGTCAGAGAAAGAACCAAATCAAAATGAGTTTCCTTTACTTTTCACTTTTAAGGTCTGGCAAGCATCTCTCCACCAAGATGCTTTGCTTTATAACATGTATCAAGTAAATTTTCAGAGAAAGAGGAAAAAGGCAGTTCACTTCAGTACTAAGTTATATGGCAGAACGCTCACTATTCACAATCTATTAATTCATTTCAGAGAAGGACTTACAAGGAGTAAAACCTTCACATTTTGTTAGTATGGACTTTGCAACATACTAACAGAATAGATTCCATGTGTTTTATTTCACTTCGACTGCAATTTGACTCCACATTTATCATAATTTGGTATCACAGTACAAAAAAGGTTATTTACTTTGAAAACAAAGTTCCTAAAGCTAGAACTATCTGAACAAATAAACATCGAACATACTGTGGCTCAATTTTTGCTCTGTGCTGCACATGTGCTTTTGAAAACATCAAGAAGTAACCAAAAGGGGGTCAGGCTCTTGAATTCTCTCAGTTGGATCCAACAGGGAAAAATAAACGAATCAGATAAATAGTCAGATTCTGTTTTGCAACCATGGTTCTTTCCCCCCTCACTGCTAGTTAATTCTCTCTCTCTCTGCCTACAGGAATAGTTTCCACCTATGTTAGTTATCAGATTCCAGAATGTGTGCATGTAGAGTGAGGATGGCAGTGGGATAAACAGGATGTTCAAATTTTAAGTGAGTTACAGAGTCTGCTTTGTTCCTGGTGGCTTAGAAATAAAAACAAACATCCGGGCAGAGCTAATCTAGAGCAAGAAGTGAAAAAAGGGAGTGTCACGGGATGCAGAGGAAGGGAAAAGAAAGTGACCGACCTTCTGTAGGTGATAGAGGTCTGTCTTCGGAAGCCCTTTTGGCTGTGACCCAGAAGTATCGTCTTCCTCCTCGGTGTCTGTTTTTTAATACAAAACCAATATACAACAATTAGGGTCAAAAGAACAAATATTTCTACTAATCCAAAGTAAGTAAAAGTTTCACCTATTTTTTAAAATGTGGCAAGGGAAAAGATTCCATCAGATAAATAATTTCTTCTAGAAGCTGAAGGTCAATACATATTATATAATTTATGCTGTAATGCAGTCTTTAAAAAAACCTCTCAAATATTTGTGCTATGATAGCTTTTCAAGAAAATCATACAAACTTAAACTGTTTTTCTTTTTTTAATCATAGAGATGTGGGGTACAAGTGAGAGTTAACCACGTAAGTAGGCTGCACGCAGGTGAAGCCTGGGCTTCTAATGGGATCTCACCCCTCCTGGTTTAACTGTTTTCTTTTGATTTGCAGATATTGCAAACAACACAATCTATACCCTGGCAAACCCAGTCTTGATCTTCCAATTCACTATTTTTGACATAACACTATTTGAATATGAAGAGGGATGTAAAAGTTTTGAAATAATCCACTTAAACAAAGAGTGCTTCTCACTCATAAGCAGACCTTGAACAATTTTTTTTTTTTTTTTTTTTGAGTGGGAGCCTCACTCTGTCGCCCAGATTGGAGTGCAGTGGCCACTGCCAGCCACTGCAGCCTCGACCTGCTGGGCTCCGGTGATCCTTCCTCCTCAGCCTTCTAAATAGCTGGAACTACAGGCGTGCACTACCACACCCAGCTAATTTTTTGATTTATTTTTATAGAGATGGGGGGCTTGCTTTGTTGCCCAGGCTGTTCTCAAACTCCTGGCCTCAAGCGATCCTTCAGCCTCAGCCTTCCAAAATGACAGGACTATTGTCATGAGCCTGCATAGTCAGTGAACAAGGGTACCTGCATAGTCAGTGTTTGTAGACCTAACCCTGCTTATCAAATGTGGAGAGTTTTAATTTTACTTTATTATTTATGAGTCATTTTTGAAAATCAAGAAATACAGACATTTCTTCAAGACAGTTGTTTTGCTTTAATTTGTAAAACCCTTTGTTCTTTAGGCTGTTAATCATCCTAATCTTCAATCCTTCCTGGTAAAAAAGCTGCATTTCTTTATTTTGTGGTGCCATATCACAGAATTTGTTCATGTTATAAGAACGCTAGCCAGGCTCGGTGGCTCAGCCTGTAATCCCGTGCCTTGGGGAGGCTGAGGTGAGTAGACTGCCTGAGCCCGCGGGTTCGTGACTCGCCTGGGCAGGCGAGACCTCATCTCTACAATAAACAAAAAAAAATTAGCCAGGCATGGTATCACGTGCCTGTAATTCCGGCTACTCGGAAGGCTGAGGCGGAAGGATCACCGGAGCCCAGCAAGTCGAGGCTGCGGTAGCCGGGAGCAGCCACTGCACTCCAGTCTGGGCGACAGAGTGAGACTCCAACTCAAAAAAACAAAAAAAAACCAAACAAGAACGCTAATGAAAATTATGATGTCTGCAGAGTCTCCATGAATCCATTTTTGTAAAAGATTACAATTTACCTTATTTATCGTATAGTTTTCAAAGCCTTTTACCCTATATATTAGGGTGGTCCCTCACTGGTCCAGTGATCACAACTGGGGGCATTTATATTGTGAATCAGTAAGAAAACAACAGCTTGCTGGTGGTCAAGAGAGATGACTCTATTCTAAGTGCTACCACTAGCTCAGAGATCTCAAACATATTACTTTCTCTTCCTGGACTTTAGTTTCAGATTGTAGCTAGACTTAGCGATCTCAGTTATACCAACTCCCAGCCCTTAAACATTTCTGTGTTCAGCTCATGCCGTAGTGTCAAAGGAGCAATGCCCACACAAAACCTGGAGGAAAATTCCTCAGTAGGTGAGAACTTCCTCATTCTGGCCTCTCCGGAAGCTCCAGTCAGGCAAACTTTCTCCTTTGTTCTCCTTTGTCTTCCTGAGCACTCAGGTGGCTCTCATGGCAGCTATGGAGATGTAAGGGGGAATTCCACAAAAACAGTCTCCTAAAGCCAAAGGATTTTTAAGACAAAGGAATACTTGCCACACAAAAAAGGATTACAATGGATATTTCAAATATGACATTTGCACCATGCCATGTCCAATTCTGTGTGCTTACTGATGAAGCTGCCTTCTCCCCCGAACTCCATTAAAAATGTCCCTAAATTAGAAAAAAGTAAAAGGTATACCATTGTGTTGTTGGTATTCTACCAAAAATATACTATACTTTGGTGCTAGAAACAGAGCTAGATAAGAGCCTAGGAAAAGTTAATAATACAAATCCATCTGTGGTGCGCCACAAGAACAAAGAAGTCCTAGCGCATTGGGGAAAAGAACATGGCTACCCATATGCAGTCAGGCACCCCCAAGCATTCAGGAAGTATAAATGATCATGAGGAGGTCATACAAAATAAAGGAAACTGTAACCTTCCAACACTGAGGAGTGCCAGGCTGCCTCAGTTAATTTAGGACTGAAAGATTCAAGCTTTTGTAAATCCGATTAATGCAAGCCTCATGCATATTTTGGTAATCAGCATACCAATGAGCCTCATTTCTGTGAAAGCAGTTCACAGCTATTAATTTTTCAGGCATCCAATGATTTATGCAGTGTTTTTGAATTATATGAAGAACTTGATGAAATGCTTAAGGAAAAAAACCTCTAAAAGGAGTCCTTAATTATGATACCCTGCTACTTAATTTTTATTGCCTTTTTAAAGATATACCCTCCCATAGATCCAGATAAATAATCTTTTTCCTGTCCTTTTGATGCTCTTCATTGTTTAAACCAAATCTGGAAGAGAAACATTTGACCTATTTGTGACTGTTAAGACGTGGCATTCAGGTCAGGCTCGGTGGTTCAGCCTGTAATCCCAGCACTTTGGGAGGCCGAGGCCAGTGGACTGCCTGAGCCTGTGGGTTCAAGACCAGCCTGGGCAACTTGGTGAGACCTTGTCTCTACAATAAAAATTAAAAATTAGCCAGGTGTGGTAGTGCGTGCCTGTAGTTCCGGCTACTTAGAAGGCTGAGGTGGAAGGATCGCTGGAGCCCAGCAGGTGGGTGTTCTATTCTGAGGCCTGGAGTACAGACTGCTCATGAACTACTGGATCTCTTCATCTCTCAGCAACATCACAAGGGGGGATTTCCTCCATGTCATTTTAGTTAAATGACTGTCATGGCCAGTAGAACTGGTAGGATATTATACTCTCACCATCGAGACTCTGAAACTGGGCCAGGAACTCCTCTATTCTCTTAGCTGTGCTGCCAAGGTGCTTTTCAGAAGAGGACTTAACAATCTTGAGACATTTCTGAAGTATGGTCATCAGTTCATCCTTTGCCAACATCCTAGAAGAGAATCAATCACAGGAGATGTAATATAACTAGAAATGAACACACTTAAAATACATTTTAATACTAAATGTTTCTGATCAGAAGACAATAAAAATTCTTTAGTAGCTACCAATGTTTTTTGGACAGATTTTTCTCAATTTTATGTGACATTCAGAGCATTCTTGAGGGGTTCTCATGATAAAGCTTAGCTTAGAAAATTCACAAAAATCTAGATTCATAGCATGGTTCTGACACTTACCGTGTCTGTAATACAGAACAAGTTTACTATACATTTCTGATCCTTGGCTTTCTTATCTGTAAAATGGAAATTATAACGCACATACGAAGGAGGACCCAAAAAAACCAGCATTATTTTTTGGAGAGTGGGCCCTTGTAATTCAGATTTCTCCTGTCAGGTAAATGTTCTAGGAACCCATCGGCATCAGTGTACCAGACAGTGTTGTTGTGAGAGGCTGTTTTCGGCTTCAGTGAATTTTTTTTTGAGATTCTTTCAGTGTATTTGCCCATTTCATGATGGGTAATTTACAAGCACACTTGCTGAGTGTTCATCAGTTTTGACCAAAATCTGCATGACCTCCATGCTCTACCCTCCCTATTCACCGGATCCTGCCCCAAGCATTTTTTTTGTCCCCCCCCCGCATGAAAAAGTATTCAAAGGGAAAACTGTGCCTGTGTGGAAGGGGTGGAAAAAAACAAAACAAACAAACAAACAAAACGGCAGATGCATTAAAATGCATCAAAATCGATGAGTTCAAAAACTATTCTGAGCAGTCGAAAAAGCATCTCGATAGGTGTATTGCATCAAACAGAGAGTATTTTGAAGGTTACTGAATTTTAAACATGTAAGAATAAATAAACAATTTTTAATAAATAAATTTTGGGTTTTTTTGGTCCCATCTCATATTTCACATGTCTGACAGAGACTTGAAAATTAAACAAGAAGTTGCATGTGAAGAGTCTAGCACAATCTAGCCACAGAGTAGGCAATTAATATTCATTTTTCTTTATGATCTAAACATACATATGACACAAGAAGTAACTACAGAGGATACGACACACTAAATGTAAAGGACCAAAATTTAAGTATTACAGTAATTTCTCTATTACCGTTTAAACCATGCTTTATATGTCCTATGCGCTTTATAAACATCAGCCAGTATACCTACTGAACTTTAAACAAGGTAGGCGATTCTGCTTGTTATTTACAGCACAGGCAGAGTGGTTGAGTAACTCATTCACAGCCAAGTAAATCTTTGTGAGAAATGGAGGGAGAACACAGACATTCTAAAATCAGGATCCTGTTCTCAGATCTTCTATGATTTCTCCACTAAGATCATAGTAACAGCAGCAAAAGGAATCAATATTAGTAATTATTAAGTAGTAGCAACACACAGCTATACAAATGATTCTTAGCAATGGATGTAAATCAAAACTACAATGATTAAAAGTTCTAATATTAACCATGAACAATCAGACAAATCTAGAATATGAAGCATTCTGAAAAAAAAAAAGAACTTGTGTTTGACATTTTTCATACTAAAATTTTGGGGAAAGTACTAATATGACTAAGGAAAAACAGACACAAAACTAAGTATACTACGACTAACTGAGAAACAAACCTGGTTACTTCAATCAAAATTTAAACCCAAATTTTAAAAAAGTAGAAAAAACATAGAACTTTAGATTATAAAATGTAGAAATTATTAGAAGTAGCTCAAATAGTAAACTTTTTTTGCAGTTTTAACAAAGAGTACAAAAACAACAACTTCCTCTATATACAATTATCCCAGGTATATTTCTGATCTATGAGTGACAGGTAGCTAACAGGTCAAAGAAAAATAAGCCAAGACATTTCATTCTTGATTATATTTGCGACTGAAAATTTCTGGCTTTCTATTGCCCAGATGGAGTTCAACTGTTGAGAGGTAACTCTAGTCAAGCACACTTGAACCACCTGTTATACCTGACCTTTTAGGCCTACTAAGTAGAGAAGATCGGCATTGCCAGTGTCCAAAGAATCACCGGCACAGGCTTGCCTGGAGGGGAGCAGAGGCCGAGTAAGCTCACACTCACATTGGCGGGGAGGTCTACCCACCGAGAAGCACACCGAGGACTAGCTTCCCAGGATACAGGCAGAAACACCTCAGCCACTCTGAGCTCCAAATAACTGAATATCAAGGAAAGCTAAGCCTAGCCTGTTGTTCTTCTTCAGGATGTCACACACGGCATTATTTCACATAACTGTGAAATCAAGTTTTATTAGTCATAACCTTTAATGTGGCATTTGATTGGAGGAGACAGATCATTCACCCAGATTTAAACTTCAAGGATTCAGATAGTTAATTGCTTCTCTTATTCTTAGCCAAAGATTATGATTTTATTGTCTTCAGAGTAGAAAAAGATCTTATACTTTCCCAAGTACTCTCTGGTTTAATATAAAATGATAAGATTTAAGGTAAGATTGATGAAAAAGAATTATTTAACCAACTCAGTAAAGTCATTAATTAAAATTTTTTTCTAGTAAAGGTATACACACAGAATCACAGAATCAATAATGCCTACTATCATCACTGTAATTCAATATCATTTGGGAGTCTTGTTGCTACAAATTAAGAAAAAAAAGAAGCAGTATAAACATTAGAACGGAGGAAGAAATTAATTATCTGAATATAGCATGACTGTAAAGCTAGAAAAATCTAAGAACTGTAAATGAATTCGAGTGTAATAAGAGTGAGAAAATAAGCCAGGCTCGGTGGCTCAGCCTGTAATCCCACACCTTGGGAGGCTGAGGTGAGTGGATTGCCTGAGCCCGTGGGTTCGAGACCTGCCTGGGCAACTTGGCGAGACCTCATCTCTACAATAAAAAAAAAAAAAAATTAGCTGGGAGTGGTAGCATGCATCTGTAGTTCCAGCTACTTGGAAGGCTGAGGTGGAAGGATTGCTGAAGCCCAGCAGGTCGAGGCTGCAGTGGTTGGGAGAGGCCACTGCACTCCAGTCTGGGTGACAGAGTGAGACTCCAACTCAAAAAAAAAAAAAAAAAAAAAGAGTGAGAAAATATAAGATAAATATATATGTGTGTGCATACACATTCACATAATGTAATCAATACCTTATATTAAACTACATCATGGAAAAAAGAGCATGCTAAAAATGGTGCAGTGGCTCATGCCTGTAATCCCAGCACTTTGAGAGGCTGAGGTAGGAGGATTGCTTGAATTTAGGAGTTCAAGACCAGTCTGGGCAACATAGCAAGATCTCATCTCTACAAAAAAAACAAAAAATTAGCTGGGCATGGTGGTGCATGTAAGGCTCCAGATACTCGAAAAGCTGGGGTGGGAGGATTGCCTAAGCCTAGGAGGTAGAGGCGGCAGTGAGCCGTGATTGTGCTGCTGGGCAACAAGAGACGCCGGCTCAAAATCAGAAACAAAAAATACCCCACCTATCAAGTACAATGTGCACAGGTAAGAGTGTTGAGTACACTTATGGTCTAGACTTCTTCGTCACTATACAATGCATTCATGTAACCAAAAACTATCTGTACCCGCTAAAGCTACTGAAACAGAGAGAAAAAAGCACCTTGGAATTTAGAGGTCCCCAGTTTAAACCAATAAACAAACAAATAAATAAATAAAACAAAGCCAATAGAATATACAGCAATACATTTATAACACATGTGTAAGACCATAAAAAATGAAAGCGCTGAATAAATGAACAGACATTTTAATACTCAATATTATAAAGATCCAAATCATTCCAAATAATCTATACTTTAAACACTGTTTGAAATGAAATTTCAGTAGGTATGTTTTAAAACCCAATAAAATTATTCTAATATCTATCTGGAATAATACTTGTTCCTTGAAAATAGTAACAATGTATGCAAACTTGAATGTGTAGTGGGATGTTAATAAGGTATGGTGATTAAAATCAGATGGTACTTACATGGGCAAGTCAATGGAAAAGAACAAGAGTTCAGAAAGATCAAGGTATACGTGGAAGTTTGTTTTATGATAAAGATACCACCTCTAATCAGTGGGGAAAAGATGTTAGGTATTAGAATTAACTATTTTGGGGGGGGGAGTTGAGTTTCCCTCTGTTGCCCAGACTGAGGTCACCCGTAGCCTCGACCTGCTAAGGTGATCCTTCCAACTCAGTCTTCCAAGTAGCCAGAACTACAGGCACTACTGAACTAAATGCCTGGCTAATTTTTTGATTTATTGTAGAGACAAGGTCTTGCCAAGTTGCCCGGGTGGCTCTCGAACTCGCAGTTCAGGCATTCCACTCGTCTGGGCCTCCCAAAGTCTTGGGATTATAGGCTGAGCCACCGAGCCTGGCAGAATTAACTATTTTTTGCAAACAAAGATCACTACCTTATATTATACACAAAAAATACATTTCAGTGACACAAAAATACATTTCAGACAAAGTAAAAATGTGAGTATGGTGTGGCAGCAGGGAAAAGAACTAGGTCATCAATCATAAAATGTTAAAAGAAAATGAGGAAAGATATTTAAGCCTGGAAGTTTTTCTTCTTTAAAAAATAACTTGCCCGTGGCAGGTCTTTCTGCAAAGGATCTTCCTTTTTCCTTCTCTTTTTCTTGCTAATAAACTTTGTTTTAAAACTTAAAAAAAAAAGATATTTAAGCCTGATAATATCCAGCATCAGCAAGAGTGTGAGGAAACACACCGAAACACTGTTGGAGTGAGTATACACTGTACAACAATGTGTCACTAATTTAGGGTCAGAACACCTACGTCTTTATTTTGTGGAACTAATTACACAAATGAGCAAATATACTCATGCTAGCGATTACTGCTTGTAACAATGAAGCATCAGAAACACCCTAAATGCGTACCACAAAAGGGACTGATTAAAATGCTACACTTTCAAACATGAGACATTACGTGGTGACGACAAGCAACAGGTCGGGCGATTATGCAGCAACGATGACAGCGAACGTTTACACGCACTTGGCACTTAGGTGTAGCAGGTG